TCGTATCAACGTATCAAAGTTCCGTATCAAGAATGTTTTGGGAACGTATCGAAAATGCCGTGTCAAAATCGGTGCTTCGTATAGGCTAGGTTGATAGAGGTAGAAAAAAAAGGCACTTTATATTAGCTTGATTAAACATTTTTCAGGGGAGTTTTCACCCTTTTGGACTTGATTAAATTAAAAATTACCATTTTGTTCCAACCTAAAAGTATACATCAATGGTCAACCTATCCTTGTTTAACCGTTCATTATATCATGTAATTTATTACAACATTTATGTAATCGATTACATTAGTATACGGTAATCGGTTATACCATTAAACAGAGCCATATAAATTTCTTTCCACGACTTTTTTTTAATCAAACGAGTTTCTATGGTCATATACTTATAATATTAAACTTAAGGAAGAGCTTTGCGGTATCACAAGACCTAATATGACACTATATTTGAGACATTTTATCGTAAAACTTTTGAAGGCCAAATCTTTGACCTCGGGTGCCGAATCAAATATTTTTCTTATTCTACATAACTTTTCGAGACGACAAGTTTACAGCAAGGACTTGGTCAAAACATTTTTTCAAAAAATGCTTCCTTGTACTCTGTTTGACATATTTTATTTATGTGGATGATGTTATTTAATTCCTATTCTTATTTTTCCTATTTAATACTAAACAATAATCATTCCATCATGTAAATCTCAAAAAGTTGCGTTGATTCGGAAAAAAAAAACACTTGATTTGAACTCTTGAGCTAAAAGTTATACCATTCCAAACTTTTAAAATAAATTTGAGCCATATAACCGATTACTTGAGTCATGTAATCGATTAAATCAATCAATCAACCGTCCGCAATTGGTGTTAAGTTTTAATAAAATGTCAAAATTTTTAAAAAGTATAAAATTGGAGACATAAAGGTAAAAAAAAACCGCATTTTCCGTCTGTAAGTATGATTAGTTATTTGTTTAACTACTTTAATTAACTAATAGTTATAACTAACCAAGATTTTCCCGTTAGTTATTCATTAATTGTTAACTATAAATAAATAACTGTTTAAATTAGGATAGCTAATGATTAATCATATGCGAGAAATAGAATATTCACGCTTTCAATCATGCCAAACTAAATTACATTTTTCCAATGACAAAAACCACGTGCTTATGCTTTTGTGCATTGCATAGGGACAATGGCAACTAACTTGCTTATTTCTCTAATTCCATTTTTGTATGGTGAAAAAATTCTTAATTACGTGTAAGTAAGGTGACGTTTGGTATCCGGTTTTTTTATTTCTTTTTCCAGGATAGCTTGCTATCAGGAAAATAAATCACGTGTTTGGTTCGTATAAAATGAAAAAAATCCAGAGTTCAAATTTTTCCTGTCAAAGCTCCTCATGTGTTATCTACACTGCAAAAAACAATTATGAAAGTCCATTAAAAACTTGGAACACTTTCGATCCGGGGAAAATGTAAAACGAGGCACGCGGAATTTGACGAAACTATCCTCCCCAGAGCATCTGCAAGCTTATCAAGAACAACAGTAAATGGCACTTGCAACGTCTTTTTGTTGTTGGCGGTCGAACTGAAAATTGATGTTCCGAGCTTGAAATTAATCACTTAGCATCTTCATCTCTTAGACATCAATGAATAGGCTTTGCGGTGTTTCCTCCTCTCCATCGGTTGAAAGATGCTTCCTCTTGCGTCCCCTTTGAGATTACTAGGTCCTATTTCTGGATGCGTCCTCTTCACAACCTTGCCCTCTGAAATACTCCTCGTTCGAATTCTGATTACAGAGCTCTGAACCGCTTCATATGTACAATTTTTTTTTTCCGATGACTGTGACTCACACAAGTAACAGATTCGTTTCTTCTCTCCAAGTAACGTTATAATATTTGAGTGAAAAAAGAGAGCAAAAGGTGGGGTTATTTTGGTAAAATAACTTCATATTTCCACTAATATTTCATAACCAACCAAACGCAAACTCAGTAAAATTAATCATATTTTTTTCGAAAAATATGGGTCTACGGCTACCAAACAGCTTTTCAGTTACATTTCAGTAAAATATATTTTCAATTATATTTCGCTAATAATTATTTCCCGGATAAAAAAAAATTTCTCCTGCACCGAACGCTCCCTACGAGATTTCTTTTACTTTGTGTTGTAGAATTATATCGGGTCAGCTTGAGTTCCAACACTTCACAACTATATCTATCACAGGACAAACGTCCTCCTTGCGCTCTATTTTCGTAGTGTTGATTTTAACTCTTTAAATTTATTCAAAAATAAAATAAGAGTGATGGTTCGAATTCATGAATACTTAATCACAAATATTGGTATTATATAACGTAGTCAATTCAATAAATTAAGTTGATAATTATCATATTAATGATTTATGTATATATATATCTAAAATTTAGGATATTAAAAATATGATTAAAATAAAAAATAGCAACAACACATAATTAATATAATAGATATTCGTTTACTGAAAAAAAAATAGATATTCAATAGTGCAGAATAAGAAGGATCTCTTATTTGTGAATGATCTCTCAGGAAACACTTGTGGGTATTTGGTAGAGGAATTTTTTTTCTTGTCCGAAAATCTCAATTTTTACATTCAATTTGCGATAATATTTGAAAATTAAAAAAAAAAATTAATTTCCTGGAAATCCTGCCAAAAGTCACGTACCAAACGGACCCTAAAGATTTATGGTGTAAACTAGTGATTTGAGAGAAATTTTTACATTGGCACTATTATTGCAATAATATGTAGTGCTTTATATATCTCCTGTTTTAGAAGAGATTTGAATTTTTCAGTAGACATAATAAATAATGAGATCCACACATATTTTGATGTCGTACCAACGAGAGACCATACTTCTCCTATAAGAGGAGGAATAAATCTTTGATGTTATTGTTGCAGCAAAGATTTATTCTAAGAGGAGAAGTATAAAATCATAATATGCTATGTTGAAATATGAGCAACCTGCCTATAGTAAGTATTCCGTCCTTTTTTTATCAGTTTTTTATTTTCATTTATTTTAGAAAGTTAATAATGTTTTATTTTTATAAGTTTACTCTTAGCGTTAATATATACGATGAAACGTTAGCAGAGTAATAATATTATAAGTATTTACATAAAATTTTATCAATAAAAAATAATTTATAGAATCGACAGTGACACTACTAATGACCCTTTTCTAATTATTATATAAAAAAAAACGACCGTACTTTTTCATGTTTTCAACAAAGTTGGCAAACTAACCAACAGAGAGAATTGTAACTAAAATTCAAAGGATTTGTATTTGTCATTTTATACGACACAACAAATTTTTCTACGTACATAATATTTTGTGGGGCCTACACTTTTTAAAGAAAAAAAGAAAAAGAAATTACGACACGCAAAAAGAATCTTTATAACATTACACAATCACTTTTCCTATAACATAACTCTTATAAAACTTAAAATTTAAATGCATAACAAACTAAATTCAAAATGCATAACAAACTGTTAGTTTGCTTTTCCAATAGATCCATTGTCAATCAGACACTTGTAATAACATCAGATTAAAATAAACACCAGTTTTATGCTCCCGAAATGGCCCTCGAATCCTGGCTGATATTAGATTGAAGGTGAGGTGTCCCCCGAACCCCTCCTTGTAGATTCCCTCAATTAACTACTTATTCAATCTTTTCTCAAGTGATAAGCAACCGCGTCTATTTGTGGTAAGAAAAATAGATAATATAAAGAGAAGAATAAGAAAAATGTGTGTTAGGCATGTGAGCCGGCGGGGTAATTAAAACATGGGTAATAGTTTTCTTATGTAGTAGAAGATAAAAGTTATCTTCTACACACTCATTGGTATAGGTGGGTCCATTTTTAGGGGAAGAGAGAGAAAAAGTAAAGTGGGACCCATCTTGAATTTGTGTGTGTAGGAGATAGATTATATTTTATGCAACATAAGAATAATAAATCCCTTAAAACATTCACAGACTAATGCATTCGAACTAATTCACGAACACATAGATTAACTGGTCGAAGGAATTGAAATAAAATTATTTACTTTCAATATGCATCAGCCATCAATTTGAATGCACTTCCAGTGACAGTGACATAAAGTATAAGCCTCCGCACATTTGCAAAAGAACGTCATTATATCCAAAATCCAATGGTACATGATTTTCTCGGTTAAAATAATAAATATTTCCTGCAAAACTCACATGTTATGATATTTCCCTATCAACATCAGGTATGCAAGTGTAAGTTTTGAAGTAAAAAAAAAAAAAAAAAAAAAAACTTCTCTGATTTCTAATTATGTGCATCTCTTTTTAACCCTTTCTTGTTATAGATGATGTTTATTCACAGGACTGCAACCAGCTGTAAATCCTTCCCTTTACAACTTAGTTGCTTGTCCAATTCCTAAGATCTTGAAACGGGTTTTCTGATCGCATTTCAGAATCCTCGTCAGCAATATGTGCCAGCAAACTTCAAAAAAAAAAATTTCCATGTTAGTGTAGAGGGGAATTGAAATAGAATCCTCTGTAAAAATCACCGCAGTGTAAAGTCACTCGCACAAGTCCAGCACTCCAGCTCTCAACCCAATAGATTTGGCCCCATCTCTGATATCTTTATAATCCAAATTTCCAAAAACCCTTTTTGTAATTTTCGTCTCTCTCAGTCTGCAATTTTCTGTGTCCTTATAATCTTCCCACCTTGGCCCACCCACTCCTTCAGATATCAAACCAGTTGCCACCTTTCTCTCATTATTTGAGTTTTTCCCTTCACTTTATTCCCCCTCCACTTCCCCCACAGGTTCTGAATACCAAAACCCCACGCATCACTCTATAAATACAGCTAAGATCAGTTTTATTAAATTACAAGATTTCCTATCCTCGTCTCTATCTCTTCTCTCTGTCTCAAACCAAAATCCATTTTTTTGCACTCGTTTCGTTTCCATCTTTTTCTTTTCCAAATCCATAAAGGACTCGCCTTTAGAAGAAAAGAAAATGAAAGAATATTGGACCTCTGTGGCATCACTTCTGGGTGTGTTTGCGTTCTGCCAAACTATCCTCCAAACAGTTTTCCCACCAGAGCTTCGCTACGCTTCCGCGAAGCTCTTCAACCGAATCTTCCACTGCTTCTCCTCTTATTGCTACTTCGACATAACGGAGATCGACGGCGTCAACACCAACGAGCTTTATAACGCCGTCCAGCTCTACCTGAGCTCCTCCGTGTCCCTCACAGGCAACCGCCTCAACCTGACACGTGCCGTCAACTCTAGCGGCTTCACCTTCGGCCTCGCCAACAATGACAGCATCGTCGACACCTTCAACGGCGTTAATGTGGTGTGGGAACACGTGGTGACGCAGAGACAAGGCCAATCATTCTCGTGGCGTCCATTACCCGATGAGAAGCGAGGTTTCACACTTCGGATCAAGAAAAAAGACAAGTCTTTCATACTGAACTCTTACTTGGATTACATTATGGAGAAAGCGAGTGAGATTCGGAGGAAGAGTCAGGATCGTTTGTTGTACACGAATTCAAGAGGTGGGTCATTGGATTCAAGGGGTCATCCTTGGGATTCAGTGCCATTCAAGCATCCTAGCACATTTGACACATTGGCTATGGACCCTCAGAAGAAGAAGGAGATCATGGAGGATCTTCAGGACTTTGCAAATGGCCAATCTTTTTATCACAAAACTGGAAGGGCTTGGAAGAGAGGGTACCTTCTCTATGGCCCTCCAGGTACTGGTAAATCTAGCATGATTGCTGCTATGGCCAATTACCTTGGCTATGATATATATGATTTGGAGTTAACTGAGGTGCATCACAATTCTGACCTCAGGAAGCTTCTCATGAAGACCACATCCAAATCCATAATTGTCATTGAGGACATTGATTGCTCTATCAGCCTCCCTAACAGGAAGAACAACAACAAAAACATCAACGGTTCTAGTTCTCTTTCTTCTAGGAGTTACTATGATTCGGGTGCTCCTGAAATGCGAGGTGGTGGGTGTGGCTCTGCCTCTGGCGAAGATGGTGGGAATTCTATTACACTTTCTGGGTTGTTGAATTTCACTGATGGGTTGTGGTCTTGCTGTGGGAGCGAGAAGATTTTCGTGTTTACTACGAATCACATTGAGAAGCTTGACCCCGCTCTGTTGCGGAGTGGGAGAATGGATATGCATATTTTCATGAGTTATTGTTCGTTCCCTGCTTTGAAGATTCTGCTCAACAACTATTTGGGGTGTGAAGAGGGTGATTTGGATGACTCGGTTTTGAAGGAGTTGGAGGAGGTTGTTGACATGGCAAGGATGACTCCGGCTGATATAAGCGAGGTTTTGATCAAGAACAGACGTAAGAAGGAGAAGGCAGTGGATGAATTGTTGGAAACCTTGAAGCTCAGGGCAGATAGGAATGAAAAAAATGGAGCTCTGAGGGTAAAAAATGATCACGAAGATGAAGAGGAAGAACAGGAGAAAAGGGCTCTGGATAGTGAGAGTCCTAAACTAGAGTCTGAGATTGAGGATAATTGCAAAGAGGCAGAGGAGGAAGAGAAGATCAAGTGATAATAGTAATAATGTTATCTTTAAGGCTTGTTCTTGTTCTCATCAACGCTGTTTCTCATTGAACAGTGACAGTGAGCCGAGTTATAGCTGTTACTGATTAACAAGCGGAATCACTTTACTCTGAAGTGTACTCGATCATGTTATGAAATATGACTCGTGAGACAGAAGGGAAAACTGGGGAAGAATCTATAGCCTTTAATTTAGACATGTCCCATATGCTTCTGTCTTTTTAGTTTTGAATAATTAACTCCTTTATTATTAGATATGTAGGGAAAGTTTATGGGCGAGCAGTTTGGTTGGCACCATGATTTGTTCATTTAGTTTAAAGATTTGTTCGCTTTGTACAATTTTTTTTCTTTGGTAAAGGCCTTTACACCCTGACATAGTTGGGTAGCCAGCTGGGATGTTGGTGAACACCTGGGGTGCACATGGCATGGTAAAGGTTAGTAGCTTGATGGGACCTGTAGGGAATATCAGTAATAAATAGGGTAGCACTATTACCTAATAATTTGAATTATGCAAATGAGCTTGAGGATAAGCTATTTGATGCTTCAATTAAAACATCATTCTAGATTACTGAGATCTATGTGGGTGTGATTATCATGCCCAACGAAAATTCAGCCGAAATTTTGGACTTTAAACAGTCTTAGAATAGCTCCCTAGCCACAGCTAAAAAATCCTTCATTTGGATCAAGTACTCGTAGCGTTTTCACCATCACGTCAGAAAACCTTTCCCTTTAAGTATATTTTTATACTGTAACAATCATTTTTAAGAAAATCACATATTCTAAATAAGTTAATTTAAAGATGGACTATCAGAAATTTGTCATGTTGTGAAGTGCAAAAGTGACTTTTGTTAATTATATATAAATTAGGCGAAACGTAACATGACTAGGACATGTAATTGTGATTGATGTAAATCATCACAAAAACTCAATTTATTATTTTTAATCCAAGTTTGCTGTTTGCCTTACGTATCAGTGTCTGATTGGATTAATACCGTTAACCATTAACAAGTGGTGCTATTCTTAATATTACTGTGCGAGTGGATAGGATTAGAGGGGTGTTTTGGGTTAACTGGTGGAAACAACTACCCAAAACCCAAACTTTATGTTCGGAAAAGGGGTGTCGAGGCACAAAAGTAACTCTGGAAAGTCTTCTCATACAATTGAGAAAAAAGTTGACAATTTTTGGTTGTTGATTTTGATATTGAGTTGTAAAGGCTATCAGGTTGTCAAGCTAAGAGAGGAGCTATATACTTTTTGAAAAAGGCTATCGGGTTGTCTTGGCTGAAGTGTAAGCGCATCAAATTACAAGCAACCACCATTAAATTTTTTATATGTAAGTAAATAAAAGTTAATTCCTTATTAGAAGTTTAATTTTTTACATTAATCAATTTGTAAAATATTTTTATATATTAGTTATTGTTAAGAACTTGAGGTCACCACCCCAAAAGCTAACTCTAAGGGTGGAAGTGTCCAAGGCCTTATAAATCTTACACGCCCCCTCACACGCTTGAAGAATAGACAACATACAAGATCACCTACATGTGGAAATTTCACTACAAAAAAAGTGGAAGGCGGTGAGATTTTGATGGCTCTGATACCATGTTAAAAACCTTGAGGTCACCACCCCAAAATCTAGCTTTAAGAGTGGGAGTGCCCAAGGTCTTATAAACCTCACATTAGTTGCCCATATAACCAATGTGGGACTATATTTCTCATCAGTTATCCTTTGTATTTTTTAAAAGTTAGTAACCTAAATATTTTTTTATTAATACAATCCAGCTTTTGATGCCTTATTTTATTTATGTTTTTATATAGACTCTGCATGGGAACGCATTATTGAAGGAACAAACCATAACCCATATCAGTTTGTTGTTCCATATCAGTTTCTTACAGCTATATCCAATTACTTACGCTAGTTTGTTACTATAACGAAATTGTTACGCCAGTTTTCATTTAGATAAGTTTGTCATCGTGTTGTTGCTGGGACTGTCATCGCAAAAGGCTACTGCCATATACAATGTATCAATATTGCCTATATAAGGCTATTTGGTGATCAATGAAATCAAGTCAAGTTAAATACCATTTTATTACACATCAATAAATTTCAACCTCGCTTTTGTCTTCTTTATTTGCTTCTCTCTTTCTTTCATTCTTCTTAACTTTTTGAACCATTATAAACACGTGCTGCCATTGTCTCCATTAGTTGGAATGCTTCATTGGAGCTTCTGCCTTGCACCTTTACCCTAGTGGGTAGGTACAGCAATGGAGCACAGGTATTATTATAATAATAATTATTAACTAATAGTACTAGTTTAAAAGAATGAAAATTGGAAGAAAGATATACATGAAAAATACTAGGCTACCCTTGTTCCGCCTGATCAATTTCAATTGCTCTTACTTTTTAAATTTGAAAAAAAAATAAATGAATATGACTAAAAGGAATTAATGAGTGCAACTAATCAAGTGAGTTAAAGACGGAACATAGAACAAAGTGTCAATTTTTTTTTTTTTGTAATTTTTTTATCCAAATGGCATTTGACCAGTATTTTTAACTAAATTGTGTTAAAATTCGCTACCCCTAATAGCTAATTTCGTGACACGTGATAACTTAATAAAAAGTACTGTTCACATTATATTTGAATAAAAAATTTGTCAAAACACTTTGATCACTGTTCTGTTAAAGACAGCAATAACACGCACGAAGAAGAAAACACATCCACATAGATATATAGGCTACAAATTACTTTTGCTGTCCATGGGAGCATGCTAATGAATGAACATCACAAACAAGGACGCTGCGCTGCGCTAACAAGTCCTTTTTGCTCTTATTCTCTCTCTCTCTCTCTCTCAGCGTCTCTCTGTGTGTCCGTTTGTTGCTTGGAGATCAATGCAAAGATTTTATTCTGATGGTTCCCTATTGAGGCATATAAGATGCCCCACCAAAACCAAATAGAATGGATGTGATTTTGGCTTTTTTGCCAGCCCAACATATTAAGTCGTCCTACCATTTTGCCGTACATTTTTTTTTCTCTCATCAATACAAAAAGAGATAATAATTTCAACGGAGGCGGCTTATTTACTTGCAACAATGTTACTTTTAGATAGATTAAGATTTTAGCCGGATCTTTGGACCAACTTATGCAGGTGGCGAATTTTGAATAAGCTCCTATAATGTTGAATTCTTGAACTATTTATTGTACTATAAAATTAAGAAATGAGGGTGCTTATTCTTCATCTACCTTGATTTTACCAATTTATGTCACATTTTTTTAATGGAAAACTATCTGTCCATGTAAAAATTATGTCATTTTGTTATAAAAAAAAAATAAAAAAAATTATGTCATTTTAATGAATTATAACTATGTATTCTAAAAAAATACATATTTATAATTTTTTTTCTTCAAAAACTGTCACTAAACGATTCACTAAATAGATATATCTATTATTCTGAAGGAATTCCATTTGTTGGAAAGTTTTGCGATGTGTCAATCCCTCCTTGCATCTCAAATTTTTGTTCACACCATACCCACTTAAAAACTTTCCTCCTTTGGCAAATTCGAATTATTAAATATTTTAAACATTTTAAAATACGAAAGAAAAAAGTTGAATTGAATTTTGATTCAATTGAGTTGTGGTGGCAGACACCTCATTCAATTTGCAATTGTCTCAGTCCTCATTCAATGTCTCACTCAGATGTTTCATTTAATGATGATTTCTACATTGGAATTGAGAGGCTCTTTTAAAATTTGAAATTCAAACTTATCATGATTTCTTTTTTTTCTTTTTCTTTTTTGTAATTAACTGATCACGATTTCTACATTAGAATGATCAGCTCTTTTAAAATTCAAAATATGATTTCGATTTCATTTTTGAAATTCAAATTGTAATGGTGGGAAAAAAAATTAAGGTGTTTAGGTGGCAGACAACTCTCATTTAATCTCTTACTACTTTTCTTTTCTTTTGTTTCTTGGGTCTATAAGAAGGAACATGGGAATAGAAATTTTGTTCTTCCCTCCGGTATTCCATTTTTGCTGATTGTTTCTTTTAGAGGAATAGGTACTTTCTTTTCTTCCTTTTTCGTTCTCCCCTACGAAATGTTTTCAACCTATGATTTTATAAAGGATCTTAATCCTACCAAGGAGGACTGGAGGATTAAGGTTAAGGTGGTTCGATCTTGGAAGGTTCCTAATTTTTAACGTATGAGATTTTGACGACAATGTTGAGATGGTTATGTTGGATGAACGGGTAGTGCTGGTTGTTCTTTATAATCTATTATCACTTCGTCTCTGTTGTCGTAGCATGTTTCTGTCTCTGTGTCTGTTGTTATGATTTTCATTTTCGTTGTTTCAATTTTGGCTTTCACTTTTTTTGTAGGGTGGAAGGATCCATGCTACTGTCAAATGATCTTTGCAGGCCTGAAAAAAAATCTGTGAGGGAGAGGTGTATTTTATAGGTCCAGACTCTACAATGTAATGGATGCACTGTTATGAATGATTGATATAATGTATTAAGCTCTAAAATGCTTCTACATCTTTTTTTAATTCATTTATGTTATTGACTGTAATGTGAACTGTATATATTACATAAGAGCTGTTTGATGAGGATCTAATCTCGGTGAATATAACCTTCTAACTGCATCTTTTTCTTTGGGTGCTGTTATATAGACATATGATGCATCTTCAAATGTAACTGAGAATATAAACTAACAGCAGTGCTCTCGCTCATCTTTTGTGTATTTTATCAGTATGTTGGCTTTTGGCTAGAGACTATAAATTTTGTTAATTACCGGCAAATTTTTAAAGAAAATGGTGTTAATGGAGAATACCTGGAAGGAATGTCTATGTGCACGACTGAACAGATCCTTCGATTCATTAGACGTTGCCACATGAAGTGGGGAGACTTTATCACATTGTGCAAGGAATTAAGATGGATTAAAGGATTCTCTCTCTCCCTTAAGCAGTAAACAGATAATGACATGCCAATAAACTCTCA